GTAAAAGCGCTAGGAAGCAAAATAAATGCAAATACATACATGAAAAAATATTTATTTTAAGTAACAGTTTTTTGCATTTTTCTTTTTAATGTTTTATTTTTGTTATGCAAATTCGAATTAAGTTTTTTAATTTTGAAAAACATTCGACTTCTAAAGAATAATTCTTTAACTTTGTAAGAACAATTTACATTTGTTGATTGTTCAATTAATTTTGATATATATGCCTTATCCAGATTTATGTAGTCTCCATTAAAGTCACTAAATATTTTTTCGAGTTTACTTATTTGTATCATAAAGGCATCTGAAGCTTTTATTAACCCGCCCTCTGAGAGATGATCAGTCCATGTATATGAAGTGCTAGGAGTGTCGAAATGTAAACACGGTTCTACGTTTAAGGTCTTGCAAATAAACCCTGCTAAATGTTCCAAACTATCATATTTCAGTTCGGAAAAACCGCTGCTATGAAATATATCTTGAGTGGGCAAGGCAATATTTGACTCTTTAATTTTCTGCAGAGAACTAGTAAGCAGTTCTTCAGATAATCCTTGCATATCTGGCGTGGAATCCTCTACCACATTTGCGTTAACGGGAAGATCTCCCATATTTTTTCCTATTATATAGTCCCTCATTCTATATTTGAATTCCAGCGCATCTTGATGATCGTGCAAACCTCCTTTAGCACGAATGACACCAAAAAAATGTTCCAACGCGTCTTGATTTAAACGGTAAGTTAATACATAAGAGAGTTGAAACTTTCTTTGGAGATCCTGAAATAGTAGTGGCAGAGCAGTGTTTGTCATAAGGATTCCTAAAAGTTAGAATGTTAAAGTATTAGAATTGTTTAAGTCTGCAGATATTACCTTTCTGAAACGGCATGAGGGTGGTTTTGTTTTTTACCATAACAGTTGCCATTAATTTGGACATCCTGTCCAATATGTCTTGTTGTGCCTCTAGTTGAAGTCCGTAGGCATGTTTTCTAGGACGAGTATCTTCGTTAGGGACTTTGACATTGAGGACATCAAACCAATCATTTACCTGTGTGAAAATGATAATATGTATCTATGAAAATGCGGGTACTAACGATTTAAAATATTTACCAGCTCAAAAAATTCGGAACATTCCATCCAGTTTTCATCAGCAAAGTATCCCAGCATGCCACTCCTGCTGACGGCCTTGGATATTGTCCGGGAAAATAATTTGCTAGCATATTTTACTTTCTGCCGTTGTGCACCTACCACGTGGACGCTGGAATGCGTTATTTTATGGGCAATAGATAATTCAGATTTACCGGTGAACTGCAGCAGTTTATCTATTATGTTAACGTTGATCTCATTATTATTGATCACAAAACCATAGTCAACAAAATTATTTCGAATTAATTTTAACAAGTGTGGCACGTCTGCGAAAACGTAAACTTTATTAGCAGCATCATTAGGACGTGGACGGGAAAAGTATGGTTTTGTATGGGTTACACCCAATTCCTTATGGAGTGACCTATTTCCACCGCCTAAATCACTGACGATACCGACCACTGAAAATCCAGCGTCTTCCACACTAGTAATAATACTATAGAGTTTATCTTTTGACATTTTACCATCGTAGTCAAAAAAAATGGGCTGTTTCCAGTGTCCTACCAAACCTCGGATAAGAACAACCTGAGCATAAGCATGCGGTAAGAGAACTTGATCAGACACCGTGTCGTAAGAGTACACACTTCGTATTTTCATCTCATCGAAGGACATAATACATATTTTTTCAGTCGAAGTTAAGTCTGTTCGGCTTATGAATTCGATAACAGGTTTTAATATCCCTGGGGAAATTTGGAAATTTTTTTTCCAAGATTTTAACGTGGAAACGGCTGGAAATGGAAAACCTCTTTTTAACAGTAACCGGTACGCTCTAGGGCCACTTGCATATAAAACGATGGCCTTTGAAATATCCTCGGCCTTCCATTTTAACCGACTAGATCCCCCAGAAAGCTTTTGGATATGCCTCGGTGAAAATACCTTTTCTACTGCAGCTTTTTCCTTCTCCAGCTGCCGAATTCTCCTTTGGAGTGCCTCTATAGTTGGTATTGACGCCATCGTATTAACGCTACAAACATTTAAACATATCAATAGCTGTCAAGTATATTGCAAAATGACAAAAAATTAAATAAAATAAAACTGTATCCTTAAAAATATAAAGCAAAACTAAAACCATACCCTTTGGTACGTGTAATAGGAATAATATTGTCACAACTAGCAGTATTAAGTGCTACTTCATCGCAATCTCTAACGATTTCCTCTTGATTTTCGCTACAAATAAATACGAACGAAACAAATTAGTTAAACTAAATCAAACGCCACCAATACCATGCCCAAATATGGATTTAAAACAAAATGATGTACTAATTTAAAAAAAAGAAGGGTAAGTAAGCAGTAATAAGTCACGAAAACCCATACCTTTCCTTCACAATGTTCTTAATTATTTGTCGATGCTCTCTTTTGGCGGCCCGTGCATCTCGCCCCATTTTTGCACTGCAGTCACTAGTGGATGCTTCTTCAGTGTTGCTCGATTTTAGGGGCAAATTTAATATTGGTATAGCATCGGGTTTTAACAGTCGCTTATTCTTATAACCAGCGTAATTGAGAAGTTCTGCTTTGAGATCTCTCTTATAATCTAAATGTTGAAAATGCTTGAAACACACATGTGAATTTTCAGTTTTAAATTTATCTGCACGGCCACAGGCCACTGCCCACTTCTGACAAACCTCTTTCTGTCGAGGAAAGCGAAAAAACATAACTTCTTTTTTAAATGCTTTGCTTTAATTGTCACTTTTACATCCGTAAATTGCACACCGCATTTTTTATAAACGTTTTTCACTGATTCCACACACAAACAACAAAGTTAACAACATAATATAATAAAAATATTCTCTAAAAATCTTATAAATTACCATTAACGACTTTATTTGTACACCATGGACTTAAAAAAACTACTGTGACATCTATCTGTCAAGTGATATTTTCTTCGCGCCAACTTTACAAACTCTACGCATGACGTCAGCGCCGCCATGACACCATGCGCGATATCCCCCCCTGTATACAAAAACATTTATTGTTGGTTTCCATAGTTTCATCTAAATAAAAATAATGTCAAGTTTTAACACCTTATCTCTTGTTAACGATTGAAAGTGTTCTATCTGACTCAATAATTAAAAAAACAAATGCGTGGTTTATTAATATGGCTGTACAACAATATACCAATGCAGAATATACCGATATGTTACTGACATTAGGATTTTGTGAAGGAAATGCTCGATAGAGTGTCAGGGTGTACTCTGAAAGGTTTCCAAATCGTCGTGTACCTAGCCACCCAACTTTTGTTGCTGTTAAGAGACGTCTTCGGGAGACCGGTTCCTTTGCTCCCAACACTGTTGATAATGGAAGAGAACGTTTTGTAAGGATTCTTGAAGTTGAAGAAGACATTTTAGAACGTGTTGAAGAATATCCAGAATTAAGCACCAGACGAATTGGAAGGGAACTAGGAGTAAGTAAAGATGTCGTTCATAAAGTGCTTAGAGAACAATTACTATATCCATACCATAAGAAGCCAGTACAAGAATTATTAGTCCATGATCCTCAAATTCGTTTGGGTTTTTGTCGATTTGTTAATATGCAAAGAGAAAGAGATCCAAACTTTGTCAAGAAGATTATCTTTACCGATGAAGCGGGTTTTACAAGAAGAGGTATAACTAATACCCATAATGAACATGTTTATGCCGTTGAAAATCCGCATGCAATAAAGGTAAACCATTTTCAGTACGAATTCAAAATTAATGTGAGGGCTGGAATAATTGGTAATTTCGTTGTTGGTCTTGTCATACTTCCACGATGATTAACTGGAGAAAATTATTTGGATTTTCTACAAAATACGTTGCCAGAATTGTTAGAAGATTTACCTCTCCAACTTCGGAGAGATATGTGGTTTATGCAAGATGGAGCTCCACCAAATTTTTCTTTAAACGTTAGAAACCACTTGAATGAACAATATCCACACAAATGGATAGGCAGAGGTAATGACGGACCTGTAAACTGGCCACCACGTTCCCCAAACCTAACACCGATGGATTACTTTTTATGGGGACATCTGAAATCCACAGTTTACAGGGAACCTGTAGAAAATGAGGAACAACTCTGGCAACGTATTCAAGATGCAATAAACAATCTTAGAGGTGATGAAGAAGTTATGGAAAGGATACATTTTAATTTTCTTCGACGTATAAATCTTTGTATGCGTGAAAATGGTGAACATTTTGAACAATTTTTGTAAAATCTCTATTTTGATTATGTTGTAAATAAATATTTTTATAAAACCTATACACTCTAAATTATTAAAACAGAAATTTAGCGAAAGCCATGAGAGTAATCGAGTCTTATCAAGAGTACCTTTTTTAAAGTAAATGAGTTGCGCAATCTAAATTTCATACTCAAACTCCTTTTCTTTCATTGGCGTAGAATTTTTAAAGGTGCAATTATTTAAAAAATCAAGTTCTACGCCTATGTATTATTATCGGACAAAATTTTAATACCATTTTTTTTGCCACATAAAACTCTACCAATATACCAAATTTCAGCAAAATCGTATATGTCGTTTTAAATTTATATGGGAAAAACGATTTAAAAATTGTAACTTCAAGGCCCTCTGGAGCCCAAACGAAGCAACTTTGTACTAAGGTAATTTTACTTAAATCGACTTATTTTGGTCTAAGGAATATGTGGTATGTTTTTGTAAAGACCTGTATGTGTTGTTTGAGAGAGTTAATTGATTAGCTTAAAGTTGTTTATTTTAACAACTTCTGTACCTACACAAGTAAGAAAGTATTAACTTACAATTCACCCTGTATATAAATATGTTAATGTATAGTTAGGTGCCATTTATTAGTTTTAATACTGATTGTATTCTTCTCAATGACATGTAAATAAAAATAAGGATAGATCAATTTAAATAATACTTACTTGCTATCTAAAGCAGCCTCATATTCTTTTCTTTCCACAATATTATCTTCCTTGTTATGAATTATTTCTTCTTCTTTTTCGTCTGAGTATGTATGTGCATCATTGTTTAGTTTATTTAATCGCATTTTTGTCAAAAACGTATTATCATCGTTGTAAAATACTTCGTCAGTCTCTCCTATTTGTTGTTGTGAACCGTTTATTAAAACATTTTCGTCTTCATCTAAAAATCCATCTTCTCTCATTTGAGCCAGTTCCTTATCCATTTCGTTTATTAAACTTTTTCTATACTCTTCAGCCTCTTCTTCATTTTCAGCCTCTACGAAACTTTGAATTTTTTTCTCTCGCGTTTGTTTAGCATTTTTGTCGTAAATTCGCTTTTTGACTTCAGCATTTTCATGTATTTTTTTTAACAGAATCAACTGTGTTTCTGAATTTCCTAGCACTCTTCCGATAACCGTTTCTGGCGATTCTTCTTTCTCTTTATTGATTTTGATATTATCTTTGGTTTTGTTTGCTTGAACTAATCTATTTTCTTCGAACTGTTGACAAATTTGTTTTACACTATTTTCACCTTTTTCGATTAATTTTTCGTCTGGTTTTTTGGTATTTTCCTTTCTGTACTTATTTTTTTTCGTTCTGCTGCGGTAAGTGTTATGTCTGACAAATAGTCTGTCTTTACTTACGTCATCCTCGTCTATTGATTTTTTACTATTTGTTCTTGGTAGTGTAGCACTTTGAACACTTTTACTAGGTCTTTTTATTTCGAATAGGCCTCTAAAAAAACTAACCTTTTTTAATTCGTTTGGAGAATCCATTTTTAGATTTATACATTGATACATACGATGTTAGCTAAACGACATTGTGCCTAATTAACTATATCTTATCAAGACCAGTTATCTATGTTTCTGTGTTATCTTTGTTATTAAATCGGCTACATACACCCATCTAATGTTCCCTTTTAATCTGATAAATTCAGTGGAAGAAGATAAGCGATTTTTCTATAAATTTGTTTTAAAGATCAAATAATTCATGGTGTCCGTTCTAAACTTAAAAACTGAAAAAGATAACATTAATTTTAGCATTTTTTTAAACAAAACAACTTTTAAACTTGTTACTCGATACAGGGTAGGCAGCATTGTTAAAATTGGTTAAAATGACAAAAAACTAAAGTCGTCCATGGCGCCAACATCTATGGCGCAAACGTCTATGGCGCCAACTGTGTAAATAGATGATGATTCTGACATTTTATATCCACATTTTGAACAAATTACCTTACAAAATTTCATTTTCACAAAATTCAACATTTACAGTAATTGAAGACTCTTTCAAAACAACACGTGTTTAAAAATGCCTTAAATAATAGGCGTATTTAGTAAAATTCAAAAATATTTTTTTTCTTAAAGCTAGCATAAAATCTAATTTTTTCTTTTCAAATTTTCTTCAAAAAAATGCAAGCAAATTTGAAACGCGCGCCACAGTGATTTTTAAATATCGTATAATGAAGCCTAAAATCTGATTGGCTAATTTTTAACCTTCCAGACAATAGTCGATATGTTTTTACCTTGTTGCCGCTACTTATAAAGAATTATTAAAATTCCGGATAAGCGACAATTTAAAGGTTAAGATTGTATAATTTAACATAAAAACATATATGTTAAAACTAAAGCAATATTTGTTTAAATTCAGTTTTTATAAAGCAACTTGACACTTACTACTTCAATAAACTTTCTTCTTAATCGAAATGTTATTCAAATCATAATCGCCATATCGCGAAATAGTTTCTCTAAGTTTGGCAATGTGGTTTCATCTGTGCGTCTAAATCCTAACCACGTTTTCGATTGCAAGATTGTTTTGATTTATTTTAAAATTGTTATTTAATTTTTAAAAAAAGTACAAACAGGATTATAAGAAGAATCTTTAGATAACTTACCCAAGGTGGACTTTAACATGATTAATGATTTTTACTTTCCTATCTGTATACAGATATAAGGAAAGTATAGGAATCATGATTTTTTTCGACCTCGAGTTTTCGACGGATTTTTACGTTTTGAGGTCCCCTGAATCCGTTTTTACTATTTTCGCGATGATGTATGTGTGTCGCATAACTCATGAACCGGTACACCGAAAAACACCAAATTTTAAACTTAAGCTTTGTTCCAGCGTCCAATGAGATGATTAGATTTTGGGCAGAGTCGGAACATCTGGGGGGTACTTTATAGGTGGTCATTTTTATATTTTATGGAATATATCTGTTATTTACGTTTGGAGAAGAAAATTCTTTTAATAAAAGTTACTTGTTATATTATTATCTATAAATTTTGTTCTATACAAAATTTTCTTAAATGGTCCGTATTCGAGAAATTTGACAAAATGTAAAATAATATTTTTTTATAAAAATTGTTCAAACAAAAGTTGTTTGTAATATAATTCTCTATAATTTTTATTCCATACATCATTTCTCTAAATGGACCGTATTCGAGATATTTGAGAAAATGTGTAAATTTCGAAATTTGAAGAAAACTCAAAAACGGATAAAGAAAAAAACATTAAATTTTAAACTTAAGTTTTATTTCGGCGTGACGTGAAATTATTAGATTTTGGACAAAGTTGGAACATCTGGGGGTACTTTATGGGAGGCCGTTTTTATATTTTATGGAATATATATGTTATTTATGTTTGGAGGTAAAAATTGTTCAAATAAAAGTTATTTCTAATATTATCTATAATTTCTGCTTCATGTCAAAATTTCCTGAAATGGTCCGTATTCGAGAAATTTGTCAATATGTGCAAAATTCTGATTTTTATGAAAATTGTTGAACTAAAAGTTGTTTGCGATATCGATCTTTATAATTTTTGTTTATACATGATTTTTCTAAAATGGACCGTAATGAAAAAATTAAAGGAAATTTAAATTTTTCAGTATTTTCGTTTTCAATGAATATCTATAGAAACATGTTTCGAAGTAGATGTATGTGGACAATGTATATATTTAGTTTATCCTCTAAACATTTATAGAGATGCTGCAATAGGTTGTACAAAATAACCGGAAAAAGCCTATAATAACTAGATAGGAAAGTCATGTGTTGGACACATCAGATTTTTTATATAAATAATATAAAGTTTATTGGTTCTGAAATTCGCAACGTAAGTACACTTTCTAAACTCCAAATATTTCTAGAATTATTGTATTCAAAAAGATTTGTGTTTAAAAAAGAATCTTTTTTTTATTTATTTATTTATTTATTTACGGGCAAAGCCCAATTTAGTTTACATACAATAAAATACAATATAAAATAAAAAATACAATAAAATAGAATAGTGATATCATAAAAATTAAGTAAAATATAGAATAAAATGGTTAGATAAATCAGTGGACATTAATGTACAGAACAGCAAATAAATTATAATGTGTTAAATGAAATTTATGGAATTGCTTGAGACGTTCAAATATTCAATGTAAGTAAGTGGTTCTTAAATCCTTGAACAGAACTGTTAAAAAGTCGAATATCATGAAGAGAGTTAGCTAGTCTAAGTGTTCTAGGAATAAAAGTATTAAACGCATAATTGTAACGGTGAAAAGGTACATGGAATGTTTGAATTTGTCTAGTAGTACGTGACGGCACAAAAAGATTAATTCTGGAAAGGAGGTCGGGGCAATTACACCTGCCATTGATAATATTGGACAGTATGGTAAGATCTTTTCGTTTCCTACGAACTTCCAGAGAAGGTATGTTTAAATATTGTTGCAATTCCGCATAATTGTAATAAATGTTAAACTTGAATGCTATGTATCTAAGAAAATTATTTTGAACTCCATCCAGTTTACTTTTATGAATTAAGTAGTGTGGGAACCAGACTGAGGAGCAATAATCAAGTTGTGTCCTAACTAAAGAGAAGTATAGCATTTTAATTGTGTTTTTTTTAGTGAAGTCTTGAGTTGTCCTCTTTACAAAGCCCAGCATTTTCATTGATTTTTGAACTGTAGCAGAGATATGACCATTAAAGCTCATGGAAGAGTCAAAGGTGATCCCTAGATCCTTGATTTGACCGACTGTTACTTTTCAAATAATAAACGTTTTATAATGACAAAATGTTACTTTTACGAAGTTACGTTATTAAAACATATTTTGCACCACGTTAAATTTCTACCCCTTACCTGGGTCTCATTGTAAAAAACCTTATAATAAGAATTCTTACAAGCCTCAGGCCTAGCTCAGATCAAAATAGGTCAGTGGGATTCGTTTAGAATTTACCTTCAAGTCAATGACAAAGTCTTTAATTAAAAAGACTTAAAAGATTTCAATGAAATTAATTTTGGGCGCCATACTTTTAGATGTAAAATAAAAGCAAATTTGTCATCAACTTGTCGGTTGAAAGTAAAAAAAAAGAGACTTAAATTTCAAAACAATTAATCGGCTTTAATTTAAATTTTGAATTTGACTGATTACATAATATAAAAGAAAATTAAATTAATTAATTTTAACACATTTTTCAGATTACGTTTTACCAATAAGTTTAAAATAAAAATTGACTAGTGACTCAAAAATTGTGTGTGTGGTCCTGGCCGACACTTATCTTGTGTTTCCGGATTTAACGGTTGAACTGGTCTCGTCCCTGTCTTAATGGTAGGTGAGCGGTGAGCCTACGATGACTTCAAACACTGCAGTTCCTTACGCAACTCAGCCCAAGATATTCCGCAGCTCTAGTGGCAACTAGCTGACAATGATTCTGCAGTTCCAGATTACCAAGGACAATTCCTTATTTTGTTCCAGATCCAGTTCCTTATTTTGGTACAGATCCAGAGCCAGTTCCTTATTTTGGTACAGATCCAGTTCCTTATTTTGGTACAGATCCAGAGCCAGTTCCTTATTTTTTAAGAAAGAAAAAACGTGTCAGTTACAACAAAAAAAAAACGTATCTTTCCATTGCTTCAAAAAAAAACAACACATGTGTTCAGCAATAAATCTTACAATTTAAATTAAACATTCTTAAATTAAACATTTCAAATTTTACAACAATATTAGAGAGTTGCAATAGTATTTAATTTAAAACACATGAAGAATGGAAAGATCTTTTCAAATAACTGAGAAGAAAAAAATATAAAATTAATGGCAGCCATTTTGTACATTTTGGAATTTATATTACGCGAAAAGCTCACTATTAATAAAAGAGATAACTCAAAAGATAATTTCAGCAGAATATGCACACAATAAAATTAATTTCTACTTTTCATTAATAAAAAAAAAATTCGAGATTACCTTAGTTATTCGGACACACAAAGCACTAAAATCAACCTGTCTACCTCGCTTCTAGATTGAAAAAGAAAATTCAAAAGCCGACAGCTGACCAAATGTGTGAAAAGGTGAATATTCCCCATCCATAAGTAAGCCAGGCGTGCGCACGACATCTGACCGTAATTATTGATTTTTAGAGAAAGCGCATCATTGGTAGAATGTCCCAGAGAGAGACAAATTCCCGTTTCAACATAATATATATAATTCCAAATACGAGGGGCGCTCAAAAAGTATTAGAATATATTGGAATAATAATGAACTAATTAAATATTGTAACTATTAAAAGGGAGTGACGATTACAACGTAACACGACAGGGTCCAAAACATGTTGAAATAAACTATAATTATAAGTTATTAAATTATGGCTGCGACAAAATCGGATAATGTGACATTTGTTAGTATTTAGATCCATGCCATTACTAGAGCACCAACTTTCTAGTTTATTTAAATCCAACTGCAAAATCTGAGTGTCGGCATAGTCATGAATGATCATGATCATGATGATATTATACAAACTCACTACTCAATATTTTTGAGATTTTTCTATTCTATTGTAGGTCTACTATTCTATCAAGGAAG